CAAACAAAAAGTTTTGGCGGAGGTCTACGGTTTTCGCTGGCTTCCTCTACAAAAATCAATCTCCTTTTCTTTCGAACTTGTCGTTAGGCAAAATAGGGTTGTGTGGGAAGAATGGTTTTCATTTGTTTGTGCATTTTAAAAAACTCTTGTTAGATAAGAAAACCAGCTCTCGGCTGTAGGGCTTGATGGGTGCTTCCTACAAAGAATTTGACCGAGTTATCGCTCTACTAAAAATTTGTGATTTCAAAATTCACTGACAAATGAAAGAATAAGAAACATACAGGGCGGGGGGAAAGGGAAAGGATGAAGGGGTGAAAAATTTCTGGGGTTTACGAAATCGAGCAGTTTCGAGCGAAATCACGTTCAAACAAGACAACAGATGCATTCCTTTACTTTCGCCACAATTGATCTCGCAACGCCCCCGCTGAAATGATCGACTAGCAAAAAAAATGTCGAACTAACCAAGAAAGGTGGGTGAAGTCGGTGTTTTGCTGTCACTGTCTTCCAAAAGACCTGGGAGTTCCTGGCTTGCAAATAGATCATTCGTAGCAGTAGTAAGTAATGTCGAAAATGGAAACGAATGTGTTCGGGCTCTTCCTCTCTGCAACAGCCCAGCGAGTTGAAAAGGCGGCTTTTAACTCTGGTACAGAGAATAAGCATCTTCGCACATCACTTCTTAAACAAGGGCGCAGAACTGTGTAGGCAAATGAACTTATAAAGCGATGCATCATTCGTGCTCTCGTGGGAAAAACGCATAAATCTCCGCTTAATCTCATACCCGAATCAACAGATGCGCATCGCGACAGGTCAAAGACATATCCACAAAACTACATTTTAAAGTGCATTAGGCTGGCACAACTAAACAGTGGCAGACAGCAATGCTTGAGAAGCCAACTGATCACAAACGCGATAGAGAATCACTTCCGGCAACTGCCAAAATATCCAAATTTAAAGATAATTAGGAGTATAAATTTGCTATTCCCTCTTCCGAAGTATGGGTAACAGGTGGCCAACATTCCCATGCCCAACTTTCATTTCTCAAAGTTCACTTTTTTACTTGAACTGAGAATAAATTTCGTAGTTTCCCTTGTTTTTTATAAAGCACATTCTTGAATCCAGAGATGTGAACAAATTGAACTGCAGAATTTCTACGCCATGGTTCAGTAGACATAACTGCTCAAGAAAGTAACAACTTCACATAATGAGTCTGAGCAGTAGCCGTACGACTGCATTTAACAACCAGCAAAGAGCTTGAAAACTGCCCCACCTTTAAACGGGGATTAAAGACCCGGAGCTGAGAAAACCGAGTGTGCAAATAGTTCTTAAAAGCAGCCTGCGCAACCGGACCTGCTAACAGCAAAATCAGAGGCAGTGAGATCCAGTGCAGCAGCTAGTTATTAAACCCGGTGTAAGCTACGCAATACGGCTCCTCAACAAACAAAACCTGGTCCAATGAAACAGACTCTCCTAGGGGATTTCAGTACA